AGTCTCACAGACTTTCCTGCCCAGGCTGGCTTTGAATCTTGATACTCAGATCTCAGACTCCTGAGTAGCTAGAATTACAGGCATGAGCCACCAGCACCTGGCTCCCAAGTCATTTTGAACAGTACACATTATTCTTTGGGCTTTCTATGGAAGCTATTAATCTGCTTCTCCAACACTGTCTCCAAGCCACTCGCTCAGTGCAAACACCCAATAAACTCCTCACATTCTTCAAAATTCCAGGTCCTTCTGAAACTGTACCTTAGAACATTCTGTTCCTTTAGGATTATATAAATTAGATATGCTCCTGAGAATACAGGAACTGAAAATTAGTTGCCTGTTCCTAAACACGTCTTTTTTTTTGGGGGGGGGGATCTGGTCGTGGGGCCTGAACTCTGGGCCTGGGTGCTATCCATCAGCTCTTCAGCTCAAGGCTAACACTCTACCACTTGAGCCACAGCGCCACTTCCGGCTTTTTTCTTTTTGCATATGTGGTGCTAAGGAATCGAACTAAGGGCCTCATGCATGCAAGGCAAGCACTCTACCACTGAGCCACCTTCCCAGCCACCCTAAACACTTCTGTACTCTTCATAACTTGCCTCCATCATTCTTATTGAGAAACTTGATTGACTCCAACATATTGAATTACATGCCTTTTGGGGGAGGGTTGTTTTTTGGGTTTTTTTGGTCGGTCGTGGGGTTTAAACTCTGGGCTTGGGCGCTATCCCTCAGCTCTTCACCTCAAGGCGAGCGCTCTACCGCTTGAGCCACAGCACTACTTCCAGTTTTCTAGTGGTTTATTGGAGATAAGAGTCTCGCAGACTTTCCTTGCCCAGGCTGGCTTTGAACTATGATCCTCAGATCTCAGCCTCCTGAGTAGCTAGGATTATAGGTGTGAGCCACTGGTACCCAGCTGTTTTGGGTTTTTTTTGACAGTACTGAAACTTGAACTCAGGATCCCACACTTGCTGGACTTGCTTGATTGGCTAGTGATCTATCATTTGAGCCACACCTCCAGTCTTTATCCTGGGACTCACAGATCCTTCCTGCCCAGACTGGCTTAAAACTTCAATTCTATGAATGTTGCTGAAGAATATAGTCAACTCATTCTTATTTGTGTATCTCATTAAACCTACTTTCTACATTGTCAAAGAAAATTTTAATTCATGTGCTATCTATGATCCCTCAAGTTGAATTCTAGCTAACAGAAAGAGACTCTTTCTTAACCAGGCACCGGTGGCTCACACCTGTAATCCTAACTACTTAGGAGGCTAACACTTGAGGATCATGGTTCAAAGCTGGCCTGGGCAGGAAAGTCTGTGAGACTCTTACCTCCAATTAACCACCAGAAAACTGGAAGTAGTGCTGTGGCTCAAAGTGGTAAAACATTAGCCTTGAGTGAAAAAGCTCTGGACAGTTCCTGGGCCTTTAGTGAAAGCCCCATGACTGACAAAAAAGGAGAGACCTTCTCTTTCTGCAACACACCTAGCCAAAACTCTGTGAAATGTATACATGGGGGTTCATTATACAATTCTCCTTTGTTTCGTGTATGCTCAAAAATTTCCCTCACATGTTTTCAAGATGGGATTATCCTGAGAAATAAACTAGCCAGAGCCAGTGGAGGGAAAAAAATGTCCAGTAAAAATTTCAAGGCAATGAAAACAGCTGAGGAACATTGACACAGTGTCATAGTATACTCATTTCAAGTTGTTTCCTATTCTGTTTTGGCACTTCATAACTACCTCTAACGTACTTCCCTGCCACTCACTGTAGCTGTTGTTCTACCCTGGACATTTTGGTGAAATATCTATAAGATTCACAAAGTTCTGAATAATTCTTCATCTAATTTACCCTTAGTACAATTCTATTAACTACACAATAATTTTTAAAAATAACAACAATAAAAATCTAGGAAGCCTTTGTGATTCCCTATATTAAAACAAGCCTTTGGCCTTCTTTCCTGACACTTACAATAAGCCTCATGATAGGGTTCATTAAATTCATGTCTTAGTTATCCACTGAACAATTTCAATTTCTTCTACTTGCTCTCTACTTCTGTCAGCTTGTAATTAACTGGTTCATTATTATTATTTGTATAATTAATCGGGAGAGTGTGGGTTAATTTCAAAGACACTAAAATTTTACATATCTGATGACTCATGGTTGGTCAGTATACCTCTCAGTGTCACACAAGAAGGATCGAGTAAGTGAAGACACAAGCAGTCTCCCATCCAAATAATCTAATTGTACAACACAGGAGTCAACTGTTGTTATAGTCTGAACAGGAAATATCACAAATGCTGCAGCAGCCTAAAAATGACAAGAGAAGAAAATGTTTACTTCACCTACACATAATCTCCTCCTATTCACCTTTTAAATAGAATTAACTTTTAAAATAAAATTTTAACATAAATCAAAATTTAATTTTTTTCCTACAAAATTATGGGAAGCTTTACTCAAAAGGTTTGTGATGTTTCTAATTCGGGAAGGGGAAGTAAAATAACAGAATGCTGGAAAAAGGATACAGGTTGACCCATTGTAGCAAGGAGATGTACAAGACACTATGTTGAAGACAAACTTTACAATTTGGGAGGGGGGAAGAGTAGGGGAGATGGGGATGGAAGGGATGGTAGGGGAAAAACAAAGAAGAGGGTAACAATGATCCATAGGAAATGTACTCATTACTGTAACCTCTCTGTACAGTATCTTTACAATAGAAAAAAGATTTTAAATGAAAATTTAAAAAAAGGTTGTGAAATAATGTGATACATAATTAAAGAAAAATTTAAGGCTCTGTTTGTAACTACCCAATTTTACAGGAGGAAATATAAAAGATAAATCTAGTCTGAAACATAGGGAATTTTTCACGAACTGACAAATTCAACTCCCTTTGGAAAAAATACAAATTAATTCTAGACAATGTGTAGGATTTGAAAATATATTAGGAATCAAATGACAACTCTGATAGATCCTGATGGCCAAAGCTAGAAGAATAGTCTGATTTATTTATTTTTGTTGGTCGTGGGGCTTGAACTCTGGGCCTGGGTGCTGTCCCTCAGCTCTTCAACTCAAGGATAATGCTCTACCACTTGAGCTACAGTGCCACTTCCGGTTTTCTGACGGTTTATTGGAGATAAGTTTCACTTCCGGTTTTCTGATGGTTTATTGGAGATAAGAGTTTCACGGAGTTTCCTGCCCGGGCTGGCTTTGAACCATGATCCTCAGATCTCATCCTCCTGAGTAGCTAGGATTACAGGCATGAGCCACTGGCGCCCGGCTCTGATGTATTTATTAAGGCAGAATTTAGTCAAATAGTAGCTAGAATGCTTTTTCTGCCATGATTCTACATAGGAATACAATAGGAGACAAATTCCTGCCAGGTACCAGTGACTCATGGCATAGTCTTAGCTACTCAGCCTCCTGATCTGAGGATGGCGGTTCAAAGCCAGCCAGGGCAGTAAAGTCCATGAGACTTTTTTTTTTTTTGGTCGGTCATGGGGCTTGAACTCTGGGCCTGGGCGCTGTCCCTCAGCTCTTCAGCTCAAGGTGAGCGCTCTACCACTTGAGCTACAGCGCCACTTCCGGTTTTCTGGTGGTTTATTGGAGATAGGAGTCTCACGGTCTGTCCTGCCCGGGCTGGCTTTGAACCGCGATCCTCAGATCTCAGCCTCCTGAGTAGCTAGGATTACAGGCGTGAGCCACCAGTGCCCGGCTTAAAGACAAGTGTTTTCTTTTTTTTTTTTTTTGGGTCCAGTCATGGGGCTTGAACTCTGGGGCTGGGCACTGTCCCTCAGCTGTTCAGCTCAAGGCTAGCGCTCTACCACTTGAGCCCAGCGCCACTTCTGGCTTTTTTTTTTTGCTTTTGTGGTGCTGAGGAATTGAACCCAGGGCCTCAGGTATGCAAGGCAAGCGCTCTACCACTGAGCCACCTTCCCAGCCCCCTCCATGAGACTTTTATCTCCAATTAGCCACCAAAAAGCAAGTGGCTCAAGTGTTAGAAACTAGCCTTGAGCAAATAAGCTCAGGGACAGTGCTCAGGTCTTGAGTTCAAACCCCAATACTGGTGCGTGCGTGCGTGCGTGCGTGTGTGTGTGTGTGTGCGCGCGCGCGCATGCGTGCAAGTGCACGCTTGTACACACACACACACACACACACACACACACCACTACCTCTTCACTTCTGCTACAATGGCCTTAGGGGAGCAGGATCACGTGAAGTTGATCTGCTCTCTTTTGATAATAGACTAGAGCATTCTGTTAGAGTAACCTGAATGTCTGAGTAAGTGTAGCAGGAAGCCATCTTGAGAGAAAATAATCCTATACCCATAAGTTACTTTACACAGGGGCCATGAGCATGAGCAACTGGTGCCATTTCTATATTTAACATTTGATCCACAAACCAATAAATGGACATCTTTTACTTCTTAATAGCTCAGTGTTAAAAAATATTTTATTTAAATGAGTCATAAAAACAAATTAAGGAGTAATGGAATAGATTATATGCAAATTATTGAAACCATTATACAAAAATAGCAAACTAAAATTGGCTACCAGGGGTAAAAGCATTGCTCAGCTGCAGAGCATCAGCTTAATATGAGGCCCTCAGTTTTTTAAGCCCTACTACTGAAAAGAAAAAAAAAGACAAAGAAAGTGGTTAAAATAGGCTACTGCAAGTACTACAACTCAAAAAATCTACATCTGAGCTTTAGATCTCTTCCAAGGAATAGTTGATAAAATTGTGTATATAACTTAAAGTTCCATAAGAACATGTTTTTTCCTCAGCACATACATAGAAAGCTAGAGTGGATCCTCACCTTTGCTTGTTTAGAAGTGTTGAGTTTGATGGCAGAAACTTTTCCCGAATGATCACCTACAAAAACTCTAAGAATAGCTGTATCCCAACAGAGAGCTGTAACTTTTCGGCCTTTGTGTTCTGAAGACACATAAATTCGTTCTGGTTTTCCACGACGCTCTTGATTTAATTCCCAAACAACTACGAGACCTTGACTGAAAAATTAAGTTCACAAGAAACAAATTTTTGGCAGTGGTAAAGATACAATTTTATGGCATTACAATATCAATGACAGTAAGTAACTCCTGTTCTTCAGGAAAAAGGAAGCAAAAAGTCAAGGACTTCCTTGTTTTAGTCAACAAAACAGTGAAATAGGACTTAAGTGTTCTAAATTATCTCTGTTCCCTTTTTTAAGGCCTTTAGAGTATTGTCACCTTAATTAACATGTTTCACAAACATTAGGTTGATCAAATGTCCACATGGATAAATAGGTACTGAAAGGTTTCCCAACGCACAGATAGTTCATTGCTAACACAGGAACAGTTCAGGCAAACTGCAATGGTTACTGACCCTAACAAACACACTTGTTGATTTAAAATGCATTTGGAAAGACCAGATACTTTTAAAACAGCTTCTTACCTGGTAGCTACAGCAACATAATCATCATCATGTGAACAGCAGGCAATCTGAGCTATTGCACCTTCCTAAGGCACCAAAGGAAAAACATTTTTTAAATCTCTAATTTTACATTCTTCTCTTATCCAAAATGATTTATTATATTGGAGAAATTCACATTTATGAAAGATACTCCTCATGATATATGACAAGGTTGCCCTTGGTCTTACCCTGTGTGAAAGAAAAAGTCTGTGCTTCCAGCCTTCTTTCTGAATGAGATTGAGTCCTCCTCCTGAACTGCCCAAAGCCAACCATTTCCGAGACACAGCTATGCTCGTGCACTAAAAACATGTGGAGGCACAGGTGAGATAATTAAGCATGTAACCAAAAAAATAGTCTTCTGGCAATAAATCTAGAGGATCTGTGCTAAGTTTCCGTCTTTCCCCATTCCACTCCCTGCTGAGATGGATACAATATAATGGTATTCATCCTCTAATTCTAACATTCTGAAAAATATCAAACAAAGAACATTCTGTTTCTAAACTTTTAGTTGAATCTTAAAAAGGCTGACTAGGCTCAATTGCGTAAGTAATTTTTCTGTTATTAGACCATTCATATTTTGTGTAATCTAGCTAGGTCATTCCAATACAGTCCACAACAGGGGAAAACCAAGAAAGTTATCAGGGGATCATGTAACCACATTAATCATTTAGTCTATACAATCACCACAAAACAACCATACCCCTTAGACCTCAGAAGACACAGATGCAGGTCTGCTGGGCTACCATGTCTCCATCCATACCCTCAGCCTGCTGATTTCTCTCTTGATAGACCAGACAAAGTGGTTGCTATGTTGTATCAAATTCCTTGCCACAAAAGTGTGGTTGGTTGGCTAAGAACCATTGTCAATACCCTTCAACTTTGTTACTTTCTACCACAGAAAAGGAAAAACCTACAAGTTCACTTTCTCAGTTTCCCCTACAGCCAGGAGTAGCCATGTGACTCAGTCCCAGCCTGATGAGGGCTTCTTAGGAAGCTCTAACTTCCATATGAAAGGCAATCTGAAGAAAACTTTTTCTTTGGCCCTTTCATTCTTTTTTTCTAATTGAATGCTTTATTTTTTAATTGTTATTATAAAGATGATGTACAGAGGGGGTCACAGTTACATAAGTCAGGTAATGAGTACATTTCTTTTTGGACAATGTTAACCCTTCCCTCACTCTCTCCAGTTTTTCCCTCCAGTCCCCACCCACAAGTTGTTCATTTTCAATAATAGTATCTGGTAGGCCCTCTCAATCTTGCTGAGGAAGCTAATGGAGATATTTGTACAGGAGCCAGGATACATGTATTACAACTGTGACTAAAACTAATAAATGGATGTGGTAGAACAGGAAAGATAGAGAGCCTGCATACTGACATTAGACTACTATCACTAAGCCCAACAAGCTCACTAATCTCTAAAGAGAGTACCAAAATCTTGTAGCTTAAAAATATTTCTAAATTATCAATCCTCAAAACTGCTGACCATGGGCTGGGAAGGTGGCTCAGTGGTAGAGTGCTTGCATTGCATGCAGGAGGCCTTGGGTTCGATTCCTCAGCACCACACAAGCAGAAAAAGTTGGAAGTGTATGGAGGGACCTCATTAATGAAAGGGTAAAATTTGGGGGTGGGTGGATACAACATGGCCCTTCATATTCTAGAATAAAGACCTGCAGGTCATTGCCTCTTGAAAAAAAAAAAAAAGTTGGAAGTGGCGCTGTGGCTCAAGTGGTAGAGTGCTAGCCTTGAGTTGGAGAGCTGAGGGACAGCACCCAGGCCCAGAGTTCAGGCCTCACGACCAACAAAAACAAACAAAAAAAAAAATCGCTGACCATTTTACTGTATTACTTTGTTCTCCACCACATTATTCCTAGATTTAATCAAAAGAATCCAGAAAGCATGTGCTTCCCAGAGTTCATATTTGCCCCCTAAAACAGGGTTGTATCAAACTCCCTGGTTTGAATAACTGCAGTAGGTCATGTTTTTCAAAGTGTCATGACCCATACCCATTTATACTATTTTAACTTCAGTACTATATATTGCTTTCTGAAGGAAGACAGCAAGATTACTGACAAGGAGAAAAATTAAATAATCAGTATCATGGCTAGGAAATAATTCAAATGACAGCTCAAAAAATAATAAATTAAGAAAGAATATGCTACTTCTACATAAGGTATGGCAAAAACAGGTAAGATCATCAAGATCCACAAAACAAAGACTAGAGGGCAGAGGCAAATGTAACAGAAAGAACACAAAAATGAACCTAATATAAGTTCACCTTTAGACGACTGGAGTCCAGCCGCAGGACTGAGAGTAATGGATCCAATGATTCAAACTCTGCAAGAACATGGCTGTAGGATTCTGGTATCACTGGCACAAAAGTCATTTATCCAAGAAGATGAAAGTTGTTCAGTGATAGACACAGTATTCCTCACCTGAAAAAAAGCCTGCAAGAATATAATTTGAACACATCACTGGATGGCCACAAAATATAAATATTTTTAAACATATATAATATATATGCTAGGTAGGTGCATGACCAGCTCTTGTTGTGTATTTTTTCTTGTATACATATAATACAGTCTGTTTCCTGCTAATAATATTGTCCTTAGTATAACCTCTGTGACAATGGTGTTCCAAGATACAAAACAAATGAAATACACAGTTAAAATATTTGAGAATTCTATTTTTTTTTTGTTTTGTCGGTCGTGGGACTTGAACTCTGGGCCTGGGCGCTGTCCCTCAGCTCTTCAGCTCAAGGCCAGCACTCTACCACTTGAGCTACAGCACCACTTCCGGTTTTCTGGTGGTTTATTGGAGATAGGAGTCTCACGGTCTTTCCTGCCCGGGCTGACTTTGAACCACGATCCTCAGATCTCAGCCTCCTGAGTAGCTAGGATTACAGGCGTGAGCCACCAGCGCCCGGCTTGAGAATTCTTAATCTAAGAAACTTCTTCCATACTTGGTGCTGGTGGATCGTGTCTGTAATCCAGCTATTCAGGAGACTGACATGGAAGGATCATGGTTCAAAGTGAGCACGAGGTAGAAAGTTCTCAAGATTCCATCTCCCAAATAACTAGCAAAAAGATAGGCTGAAGGTATAGTTCAAGAGTCAGAGCACAGTGAGGTGCCAGTGGCTCACACCTGTAATCCTAGCTAGTGAGGAGGCTGAGATCTGAGGGTCAGTGGTGGTCCAAGGGAGAGTCTGTGAGACTCTTGTCTCCAATTAATCACAGAAAAAAAAATTAAAAAAAAACAGGAAGTGGCACTGTGGCTCAAGTGGTAGAGTGCTGGTTTCGAGCAAAAGGAGCCCAGGGACAGCACCCAGGCCCAAAGTTCAAGCCTTAGGACCGGTTTAAAAAAAAAAGTGGGGGAGGCTGGGAAGGTGGCTCAGTGGTAGAGCGCTTGCCTTGCATGCTCAAGGCCCTGGGTTCGATTCCTCAGCACCACATAAGCAAAAA